AAAAAATGTTTACAAAGTTAATTATTTGTTTTCATCTGATAAAACACATTTGCGATATTTCTAAGCTCTGATTTTGTAGAGAATTTCACGAGCTATCTTTTGCAGATAAGAATATTTAAGTCAGAGCAGATATTCTCAAAATACCGATAAAAACATTCTTTATAAAGGACAAGTAATAATGCACTATAAATTTTTTTATCGCTGCAACACTCTCTTACGGTCAGTGTTTTATCCAGCGAGTAGGCGCAAACCCATGCATATATTCTATTCTCACAGAATTAATATATTTACGCCGAAAACTAAGATTATCATTAGAGAAAGTTTTATTCATATATGTAAGCAAGAAACATACAAGTGGAACAACTGTTGTATGTGTTACGCCACAACTTATCATTCCAGCAATACCACAATAAATATAATATTTAACTGAACCATATTCACAGCTATAATGTTCTAAATATCAAAAATAAAATAAATAGATTTTGTTAATGTTTAAATTCATCTACCTTTGCCATTTGGATGATTTGAAGAAGAGAAATTACCTAACTCGGCAATAGATCGTACTATTATCATCTATTCATAAATACAACAATTCATATACTTCATTTATAGATATTTCAATAATACATACGACACATTTGTAAGGAATAACTGTTATAAGACGAATAAGTGTAATAATATAAACAACAAATTTATTTTCGAATAATTCTTGTGATTTCATATTTAACCAACGATAATGAGATGAATGATGATTTCTATAACTAGAATATATTTAATGATGAAAATATTTTCTATAAAAACATAAATTTATCAATAAGAAGAAGAAGAAAAAAAGCATGTCTATATTATGTCAAATATAATTTCATATATAAATCAAACGTCCTTACTTTTGATCAATCATAGAATTAATTTCGTTTAATTAACATTTGAAAAAAGATTTTAGAGAAAAATGATATGTATTCAGAATCGAACGCACTTCCTTTCTCTCGTTTACTGGTTAGTATACAGTCGTTATAAACCATGTTATGGTATGTTTATCGTACAGAATAAAACACGTGTATTTCAAGGAATTTTTAAAAAACAGAACCGCAGAAAAAAAGAAATATTTTTATTTACTTAGTATTTTTCATTTAGAACATATTCCAACACTAAACATGGCGATTATATTGACATGCAATCGGGAGTGCTATATAAAAAGTTGAAGTAATTGATCTAGAAAGAAAAATGACGAATATTAGGATTAAAAATATTATTCAATACAATGAATCAAGGAAAAGATTAAGATCTATTATTCGATTAACTAAGCTAGGATTTACTTATTACAATAGAAAAATATGTTAGGAACATTTTTTGTTCGGAATTTTTATTTGAAAATAAGAGTTAATATATATTAGTCGTTTTTTCATAGTTTTATAAATATGAAAAAAACTATTTTAGAATCTATCAGACAGTTATGTTTTTGTATGAATTTTAATTAGAAAAAAAAGGGCGAAATTTCCTTACAGATTGTTTTCATAAAAATTTACGTCGAAACTATTTTTCTGTAAATAAATAATAGCAATTAACATTCAGTCATGATATATTCGTATAGAGAAAGGACAAGAAGAAACTGGTTTCTGGATGGTAGTTTTCATTGGCTTATGGCAACCATGACGATGTACTTATCGCTATTCTTCAACTCATTAATGATAGAAAAAAATCCGTTTCCATATAAAAATAAAATGAACTTTCGATTTCTTTTCCTGAGACGTACATCTATGAAAATAAGTATATTTTTTCAAAAAAAAGGACTATAACTTGTGGCGCCATCTAACATAGAATTACTTTAAAAATGCAATATAAATCTAATGCGTCTGAAACTTCATTTTCAGATTTATCACATACTCTTAATTGTTACTAGTGCAAATCAATTATAACTATAAGATGTAGATATAAATGTACAAGTGTATCGTGTAGAGAATTGGTCTCTAGAGAGTATAATGAGTGAAAATATTGATCAAACATAGAAATCAAGTTTTTTATCTACTAATTAATTCAGCAAGTACTATTGGGAGAGATACACATATATAGCGGCGGCGCCAGGAATCTTGACTAGGGTGGGCTCAGATAGAATATCATTGGTTTTTTTTAAGATTTGAAAAAAATTTCAGGGTGGGCTCAAACAATTTCAGGCTGGGCTGAGTCCACCCTAGCCCACCCTTGGCGCCGCCAGTAAACATATACTCATTTCTCTTAAAACTCAATTTACAAATATTTGTATATGATGTATAATATTCGTTTTTATATAAGAAAAAAAAGTCTGATCGACGATTATTTTTGAAGTAAATATCAAAATAAAGAAAAAAAAGAAATTTTATCTTTCGAACGGCTTAATAAAATACAAAAAAAGTATGGAAGCAGCTGCAATATATACACTATAGAAACGAAAAAAAGAAACACGTAAGTTTTTCACAGGTTATAATATTGATCATATACAATATGAATTCTACAAGTTGATTGAAAAAAAAGCAAGAGATTTCATTCCTTGACAACGTTTTTCCTTATCGAATTTTATCATATATATCTTCATTCATTTTGTTTAAACAGTGATATATATATATAAATTAACAAGTACATTTTATCTTGATGATATTATCGCAATGCATTCATCGATTGTACCCTCTCTACTTTGGAGTTACTGGGCTAATATCATCTATATCATTGGTATGATAGGATATTTAACTATTGATACAATTAATTATACATATATATCATTTAATAATACACTTTCATACATCATATATATATTTTTGTCTATTCTATTTGTTATTGATGCTGTTCTATATACAATTGATTGGTATATATATGCTGTAAAATTACGCAAATCAAAAAATGAATCAATACAATATCGATCGGAATTTTTTGCATGTATTTTTCAAAATCTTGGTAGTTATTTTTATTTAATTGGTGCTCTATTACTTTTTGATAAAAATCGATTGTTTAAAACTATTTTATTATTTAATTTTATTGGTATTATTTCTTTTTTAATTGAATCTTGTTTAACATCAATTGGTTGGACTATTACATCTCGAAGAAAACCTTTAACAAATCCAAAAAAATGGTTGCCACATTCAAGTGATAGAATAAATCATATAAAAAAATACATATATTTTCTTCTTGTATCTATAGAATGTTTATATATGGGCACATATGTTGAATATTATTGGAAATTTAATTTATTTATGTGCAATAATATTAGCATATAATTTCTATCAAACTTCTAAGATTATGAATTCGAATAGTGTAGTTTTAATCCAAATATTCGGTGATTTAATCTATTTAATTGATGCTTATCTTTACCTTGAATGTTGGCAACGAGATAAAATTGAATTCGATGTTAATACAGAACAACAAAGTTTAAATAATTTTTATTTAGAAAAACTTCATTATGATACGGATACGAAAAGTAATGAGAATAAATAAAATAAAATCTTATTAACCAATCAATAAAAAATATACTAATGAAAAATATTT